AAGCACAATACAAACTGAAAATCATGAAGAACACCATAATTTCTTAAGTAGAAATTGTTTATAAACACCAAAATTCAATTGACTAGATTAGAGTTTAGAGATTGCTCGAGATAATTCGTCAGATCAAGGAGCTAAGCTTGCCCTCATTTGAATCTCAACAACATTCGTTGAAAAGTTAAAATGAAAAAAAAGAAAAGAAAAGAAAAGAAGAAGCTTTAAGGGATTACACCCACCACCACCACCATGTATCAAAACGGAAAAAAATATTCATTGCAATGGTGATACCACGTTAGCATTACTACGTGGTATCACCAACTAAATATGCAGACAAATAAAGAAGTAGACCCTACACAAGCTAATAACTAACTATCATCTCATCTTCCATGTAAGTCAATAACTATCCAAGAGAGATTCAGTTTGTCTATTTAGGATTTCATTATTAGTTGGTAAATGGTGATTTCATATCATCAATGCTGATATTATATCACCGTTATATTAAATATTCTTTTATCAAGAGGGTCTACTCACCAAAAAGCTTAAGATTTCAAGTCGTCACGTGCCAATTGTATATTCGAAAAAAGCCAAGTAAATGTTTGGCCTTGCAAATTTTATTTATTTTTTGAACAGAAACATAATTGTATTCATATTAGCCGAGATCAAGCATATTACAATCATCAAACAAAATAGCCTTTATCTCAGCCAGCCCAATCCAAAGGGATTGAATTCGATTTTGAATCCAGACTAGAAGAAAGTGTAGATGGTGAGATTCATGATTCCGAATTTTTGCCCATGTTGAAAAAGTATGATCATTTTTTGTTTTTGCTGGGATATTATGATCCAAGTTTCAGAAACTAAAAATACTCTGTTACAGAGTCAACATGAAAATTTTGTCAAATTTATCTAGAGATACAATGATATTAGACCGAGGTTTATGGAACTAATGCTCCGTTTGGTACGATAGAAAAATAGAATGATAGAAAGTTGAAATGATAGATAAAATAAGTAAGAAAAATAGGAAGGACAGAAAAGTGGATGAATGAGCTTTCCTTCAAACTTACCAAAATCAATCCTTTCAAAATTGGAAGGAAAGTACATAGAAAGTTAATTATTTGTGATAATACACAAAAATAAATTTATGCTCGATTGATTAATATGGTTAATAAAATGTAATAAATATGATGGAGAACTCAACACAAACAACACACAGAAATAGAGTAGTTCGGTCAGGGTGACCTATTCTAGTTTAAAAGGCTTTGGTTGTCGAAGTGTTTTATTGTTGTAGGAATGTGGATAGCTTAGAGAGCAATGAGAGTTCAGGTAAATCAAGTGTAAGATAAGATACAAGATGCTCTCATGTGTAGGTGGGGCTTAAAATTTATAGGCGCCTCCTAACAAATTGAGGCACCATATCCATAACAAATAGGCTAATTTGGTGGAGGTGGCACAATTCTTGCAACGGACGGTGTAGTTATATGGAGATGGCATGAAGATCTCTTTATTAGTTGCAAATTGGGTCTCAAGATGGCATGGCTGACTCCTTGACTTCAGGATAGCGTGGTTGACTCCTTGACTCCATGATGACGTGGCTCTAAGATGGCGTGGCTGACTGTGCTCCCTTGACTCTGTGCTAAGCCGAGCTGGGTCTTATCTGGGCCAGGCCGGTTGGGCTTTATCTAGGTTATTATAGGATTATTTATTGTTGTATAAAAATGAGTGTCATGTAGTAACCTATATAGTCATAATAGAATATTGTTGCCACAATTTTATATATATATAAAAAAATATATGTTAATAAGGTTGATTTGTAAACACACTTCGATGTCAATTGTATGTGATAATAATTAGTCATGTTATTATTGATAAGAAGTTATAATTATTTTTTTGGTTAATTACGTTGAGGTCATTAAAGTAAGAAGTTTGTTTCATTTTAGTCCATAATATTTTAATTGTATCATTTTTAGTCCCTTAAGTATTAAATATATTTTTATGTGATCCATCAAGCAAACAACATTCAGATTACTAACGATTTTTATTTAATTAATTAAATAAAAATTCTAGAAATTAAGAAAAGTGGGAATGAAGACTTCTCAAACCTTCATCCCAAAAAATATTTGTTATATATATGTAGTATAGATAGGATAGATGACAAATATTGGAATTTAATACTCCTTGACATCTTATTATCGCTTTCATATTTGCCTAATATCGAGATAAGTGTGATGAATCCAGTTCTGAATCCAAACTAAAAGAAAGTGTAGATGATGGGACTCATAATTCTGAATTTTTGGCCAAAGTTGGAAAATTATGATAATTTTATGTTTTCGCCATAAATATTATGATTTGAAATATGAAAACTAAAAAGTATTTTTTTACAGAATCAACATGAATTTTGTCAAATTTACATCGAGTTAAGATTATATTAAACAATTAAATACTAAATAAAATGCGGATAACAAAATGAGATTTACAATTAATAAATAAACATGAAATGAATCGATAATTTTGCATAACGCTCCTTTTACTTTTTCTGCAATGAAATGACTAAAGGAGCAAAAGAAATTAGAAAAGGAAGGGGAAAAGGAGACACTTTGTCCCCTGAATGATCTTAAAATTTTTCCTTTAAACGCAAGCCCATCCTCTCACTCAGGGCCCATGGTGCTTCAATCTCTCCTAGTTTTGAACCCACCTCCTACACTCAGGCCAACAAACATTCATTTTGGCGCCAAACTATGTCTCAAGAATTTGATGCTCTTGTTGCTCAAGGTACTTGGCAACTAGTTCCGGCCCTTCCTCGTTAGAAAATCATTGGGTGTAAATGGATCTACAAAATCAAAGCTCATGGTGATGGTATTATTGCTCGCTACAAAGTCCATATTGCCGCCAAGAGATTTAATCAAGAATATGGTCTTGATTATACAGACAGCATAGTTTTAAAACTCGGTCCGGACATCAACCCGACAAATGAATCACTAGTTCAACTTTTAAATCACTAGTCGAACCGGTAATATAATAAAAAATTAAAATAATTATAAATAGGCTAAAAAATCACAATAATTATAAAAATAACATCAAACATGTAAAGTTAACTAGAGAAAAATCATCAAACATATTTCCAATTTCAATGTATTCAATTTTCAATACAACTTGTAAAGTTAAGTAGAGAAAAATACCTCCAAGTGAATTCAAAGCTCCAAGTTTAAGTCCAACTCTTCGGCAATGCATCAATCTAAGCATAATTCATGTAATTTGTACTCTGCAAAGTTCAAACTTCAAATTCAAACTATAGCAAGACACAAGGAAACAAAACAAAGCACATGAACATTAAATAAGGACTCAAATAAACAAAATTGAAAATAAATTATTCAACTATTGCCTTGTTCCACTTAAATATACAAATATTACCACTATTATCAATTAAGTGATTAACTAATCTACAACCCAATTATATATAATGAACAATAAGAATCACAAACAAGCCACAAATTCAATACCACAATTCATAATGCTCTTACTGTAATAAACAATCCACAAGTTCACAATCTTTAAAAACATAAAATACACAAATGAAAAGTACTATCCCTCTATTGACAGTATAGTTAGGGGATTAGTTGTTATCGACAACAAAACATTAGGGGGTGGAAATTATTATTATTGTGAAATCTAGGTACCCAAGAGAAAAACACATAACTTAGGAAATCTAGAAGCAATAAACAAAAGAGAAAAAAGTTGCATTCCTTGTTAGAAATATCTGCATATGAAGACTTTGGTGTATATATGTAGTTTCCAGGAAAGTCATGTCTGGGTCTCATTTGGTTTTTTGTCCATTTACCTTATTTTGAAAGTAATTTAGATGCGGTTGATGATTCGTGGCAATTGCAGCACAATATATAGGAAAAAACAACAAAACGTTGGTGAACCTGTTGCTTGATGCGAGTTGAAGAGGGTCAATTGGTGGAGGACTCGATGGTCACTCAGTGGAGTCTGATCTGATTGATGGAGGACACGATTGGACCACTGTTGTTGGCTGCTGGAGGTTGGACTGGGTCACTACCTGTTGGCGGTGGAGGTTGGAGTTTGGACTGGACACTGGAGTCGCTGGTGAGAGGCAGTCGTTGATTTGGTCTAATCTGTCTAGAGTGATTTAGGTAAAACAAAAAGGCAAAAACACAAAAATGTTAGTGAAAAAAATCTGACATTTATACAAATTTAATTAAACCGCCCAGTTTGGTTCAACCCGTTTGGTTCTCACGGGTTTACTGGTTTTTGACCGGTTCAACAGTTTGATCTCGATTTTCATGCACAAACGGTCTTTTGTTTGAACTGGCTTGGCTTGAGCACCGGTTCACCGGGTCAATAAGTCGGGCCGGGCTGGGACGGGATTTAAAACATTGACTGTTGCTCGATGCAAGTCGATGATGGTCATTCGGTGGAGGACTCGATGGCCACTCCGTGGAGTCTGATCTGATGGATGGAGGACACGATTGGACCACTGTAGCTGGCTGCTGGAGGCTGGACTGGGTTGCTGCTGCCTGTTGGGGGTGGAGGCTGGAGTCTGGACTGGACACTGGAGTCGTTGGTGGGAAGCAGCCTCTAATCTGGTCTGATATGTCTGGAGCGATTTAGGACAAAACAAAAGGGCAAAAATACAAAAATGCCAAAAAAGTGAAAAAAATCTGACATTTATACAAATTTAATTAAACTGGTTTAACCCGTTCGGTTCTCACGAGTTCACTGATTTTTGACCGGTTCAGCGGTTTGATCCCGATTTTCATGTACAAACGGTCTTTTTTTCGAATCAGCCCAGTTTAAACACCGGTTCACCGAGTCAACGAGCCGGGCCGAATTTTAAAACATTGACCGACACATCTGGTCTTGCCATCAAGCAGCTCATAATTCGAGCCGTTCTTTCCATGGCTTTGCATTATAATTGGTTCATTTGTCAATTGGATGTATCTAACGTATTCTTACATGAATCTCTAAAAACGTCTAAAGGCCTTCTTCCACTTTGGTGACCATCAACGACGATGCCGAAGACGTAGGAGATCGCCGACGACTATGACTGCTCTGTTCTCTCTTCTGTCTTCGTTCCTTCTTCCATTGTGGTGACCATCGACGCCGAGGCCGAAGAGTTAGGATATTGTCGGCGACTGTGACTGCTCTATTTTCTCTTCTGTCTTCGTTCTTTTGGAGTTATTGGATATCCCAGTTCATCTCGAACACGTAGGAACTTGGATTTGTATATTATGTGGAGTATCTTTGATAGATTTGTGTGTCTCTCTCTATTCATCTCTTTGTTTACTCTTTTGGGAACCGTAGTTACTGCCACACACACACTGCTATATTATTATTAGAGTTGTCTTATTTTATTAGATGAATGCAATTTTGGCATTAGAAAGTTGTTTTGCACCTTTTTCTACTGTAATAGATGGCATGATAAGATTGTGTGTTGTGCAACTTTAATGGATTATTCATTCCTACAATCTGTTTGATAAAATGTCTCTTAGAAAATTTGGATTTGATTTGTGCTTGTGTGTTGGTCCTTTGCCTTTCTCCTCTATTCCTTTTGGTTTTCACAGTAGATATTGTTTGATTGCTTGCATTGGCACAAAATGTGACTATTGTTTGATTGTGTGGTCCTTTCGTAATAGGGGGAGTCTGATTTTTGTCATCCAGGTTTTGCAGGAGGTGGTGTGGTTGTTAGAAATGAATGGGGTAGGCTGGTTTTGGCTGCTTCATTTTTTATGGTGAGTGCTCCAACATGGTTGCTGAGTTCAGAGCATTACTGGATGGATTAAAGCTGGTGCAGAGTTATGGGTTAATATCTTATGATATCAGACTGGAATGTGATTCACTGGTGCTGGTAAAGTCTGTCTTGGGCAGTTGTAAGTGTGCTTGGACTCTTTTGGGATTTCTGGATCAGATTAAGGAGTTATTGAGTGTTGGGAATTTCCAGATTTGTCATATCTTCAGGGAAGCTAATTGTGTTGCAGATCGTTTGGCTACTGTGAGGAGCAGAACATCTGCTGATTTTTCTGTGGGTCTGAATGTTCCTATTGAGGTAAGGATGGCTGTTTCCCAAGATTTGTGTTGTTTGCCTGTAATAAGGAGGAAGAAGAGGACTGTTTTTGATGATTTTGGTTGAGTCTTGTTGAGCTGTGTTTGGAGTAGTGATTTATGGGCTGCTATGCTATTTTTTTAGCTGAGCTGAGCTAGGAGATTATGGCTGTTGCTGGAGCTGATTTTTGCTGCTGGGTGGAAGGTTTTTTTGGCTTTTTCTTTAATCTGTTTAGTTGTGCTGTATGGGGAGACAGTTTTGTTGTCTTTCCTTTTGCTACTTGTAAATTTTGTCTTGTTCATTAATAAAATTTTTTAATTTTTCGAAAAAAAACAAAGGGTTCATTATTTTATCATGGCTTTAGACTTTCACCACACAAATGTGATTGTTGGTTGAATGCTCTAATTTCATACTTTATTAATGTGATTTTTTTTTTATGTACGATATTTTTTTTTGTGTATCATTATATGTATATTGTATGTTTGTATATGTACATTCAATGATGTTAACAATTGTGACACAAATAAGTATTTTTTCATCTAAATTGACTTTTTATTAAATACTTTAATTTAATCATTTTTAAATTTGAATGTCCAAACAATATTTACTCAATAAAAGTATTTTTTATAAAACACTTTTGATAAACACTTATTGAAAAAATATTTTTTGGATTTCATAAGTCTTCCCAAACGCATCTGAAGTCCATATGAGCCAACCACAAGGATATAGTGATCCATATTACCCACATTATCTCAGCAAGTTGCGAAAGACTATCTAGGAGTTAAAATAAGCACCGCATGCATGATTTGCTACCCTTTCTAAATTCCTTATCTCCCATGGTTTTCAAACTAGTCTTGTAGATTCGTCTCTCTTTATTAACACATGCTCCAATCGGACTACTGTGGTGTTGGTCTACGTCGACAATATACTCATTACCGGGGAACGGCCCCACCTTTGTTTCTTCTTTTATTCGAACCATGAGGTGTCAATTTAGCATGAAAGACTTGGCATCTCTAAATTATTTTTTTGGGTATCGAGGTCGAAAGGTAGTCCTCTAGCATTTCTCTTTCTCAGATATAATATACCTTAGATATTCTTGAGTGAGGTGCCATGACCGATTGCAAACCATTCTCATGTCCACCAAACAATCCACTGATGATGCTGTGTTTCATGACCTTCATCTTTATCGAAGTATTGTGGGTGCGCTCCAACAATCACCCGTCCAGATTTGTCTTTTGTTGTTAATAAAGTTTGTCAGCATATGCATCATCCTCTTAATCACCATTTCACCGCAGTCAAGCGAATTCTTCGTTACAAAGGCACGTTACACCATGGTCTCACCTTCACTCCTGGCCCGCTTGCTCTCGCCGCATATTTTGACGCTGATTGGGCTGGCGACAATACTGAGCTCATTCTACTATAGGATTTTGTATATTTCTTGGTTCTAATTTAATTACTTGGTTCGCAAAAAACAATAGTCCACTTTGGCCAGGCCTTCTATGGAAGCAGAGTATCGCGCTTTTGCTCAAACTTTGGCTGACCTCACTTGACTCAAGATGCTTCTCCACAATCTTCAAATTTCGGTCACTCTGTGTAGCGAAAAGAGGGGAATTTTTTTTTTTTTAGGGGGGGGGGGGGAGAGAGAGAGAGAGAGAGAGAATGTCCAACGATAATGATGAGGCTGGTTGGATTTCGGCCAATAGTTGGTGGCAATGATTTAGTGACAAATTTGGGTCTAGGTTGGATTTTGTTTTGCGGAGGCGATGGTTGTCATGGCAGTGCAGTGGAAATGGGACCATGACAGTGCATTGTGTGATGATGTGGTGCTTGAGTAGTTTTCCAATTGAAGAGACGGAAGGTGAAATGAAGCTCATTTGGGCTACTCTGTCATGCACGAAAACTTTCAGTTTTGATGCTTCTACTCGGGGTTGGGTAGATCGCTTGCGGTAGGTTGCAATCTCGTTGTTTTGTCCTGTGTTTATTAATTTTAATCTAATCTATTTTATTTCAAAATTTGGTCGATCAAACATTTCTGTTATTTAATTAATTGTATCAAATTGAGTCAAGTCGACTTATTTAATGTCGTGTTATATTCATGTTAACCCACATAACTTGTAAATAAAAAATTTAATGTTCAGATTTAAATTTAAAATTTAATTATCACTTAATCGAATCTATGTTCATACTAAATTAAAAATTAATTTAATAAATATAATAAAAAATGAGTAAAAATATTTTATTTTTCAATAATTATGTCAATGCTTAACAAAATATAATAAAAATTAACATTTTAGTCTTATGATACTAGTTAAACGTGTTTATTGTGTCAATTTTTGAGTTATTCGTATTTGATACTAATCTGATTCATTTATTATTCGTACCGACGAATCATATCATTTACTGGTTTGTGTCGATAAATAATCAACTTTTAACAACTAATTTTATGTCAATTTTACATCGTATTTACGTATCATTTCAAAATTATCACCCTTAACTTTACGGCGGTGTTGGTAGTGCCGATAAACAGGGCGTGAGCGGAGGAGGATGGTGATTGTGATTAGTAAAGAGAAAATGAATGCTTCTTGTGGGATGGGGTGGTGGCATGCGGTGTTGTAATGGTGTAAAAAAAACAATGAGGGGAGGAGGATGGTGGCGCTGTAGTGAAGAGAGAAAGAGCGTGTTGTGGTGGCGGGGCTAAAGTGGTGTGTTGATGTTGAAGAAACAGTGAAATGGTGGGGTATAAATTTGGATTAGGGCTTGGGTTTCAGTGAATTGATTTTGTTTGATTTTTTATTAGAGGGCAAAATGGTCGTTCATCACTTTGCGACCGGTCCGTTGGATCACCGTCGCTGAGGGATGGTAGTATAAATTTTCATATTTGAGGAGCTCGTCTGATTAATTTACAAACCTTAGAGAGGTTTGATGTAATTCTTCTGACATCAAATCAGAAAGCTTCTTCTTTTCCGACCAACAAAAGCTCGATTATCGGGAGTTGACTAATTGTCTCCGCTAAACTGCTTCCATAGATTGATGGCCGAAAGTGCTTTTGATTACTTGTTGCAGGAGTTGGACCAGCCTATTGATTGCAGAACCGGTTTGAGTTTAAACCAGAAGGAGCAGATCCTATATCTATTGAACATGCTAAAACTCATCTGGACCTTCTTCAACGAATTGATTGAGAAATTCGATGAGCGTACTGAAGTTGATATTCTGGAAAATAAACTCAACGCACACCTTGAACGATTAAGACGATCTGTTGACGAGGAAGTGTATGATGCCGAGGAAAAGCTTGCCAGTCTCAAAAAAGATCTTAAAGACATCATCAAAAAGACGTCGGATATTTGGAGCAAGATGTGTGATAACGAAGTCCAGCAAGTGGAACAATCTGGTGGACGGTCGACGAGAGTAGATACTGTGATGAGCTTCAGTTCAGCGAGAATAGATCCATTCATGGTAGAGAAAGAAACGTTGGTGGGCTCTAATGATGAGGCGGTGAGTATAGTGCAGCGGCTTATTGAAGGACAAAATCAGTTACAAGTGTTGCAAATTGCCGGTCAGCTTGGATGTGGTAAGACAACTCTGGCTGGAAAAGTGTACAATCATCCCTCCATTACACTTCACTTCAATGTTCGTGCATGTATTAATCTACCATTGTCACCGTTGGGTTTGCTGTTTGCCAGTTTCAATTCCGTTGTCCTGATCACTGATCGAATCTGTAGAATGACACCTAAAGAGTTATTTGAAGTGCTTTACGGATCCTTAAAAGGCCAGAGATATCTTGTTGTCATCGAGGATATACAGCATGCTTTCGTCTGGGAGTATTTGAAGAGATTTTTTCCAGATGACAACAATGGAAGTACAATTATACTCACTAGGCCGCTCATTGGTATGACAAGTTCGCACTGGTTTTGGGATTCTCGTGACTTTCATTTAATTCATTCCTTAACTGAAAATGAAAGTTGGGTTTTATTGCAAAAAATTGTATTCGGGGAAGAAAGTTGCCCTGAAGAGTTACAGCAAATCGGACAGGAAATAGCAAAACAATGTGGCGGATTACCTCTAAGAATTGTAATCATGGCAAGACTTCTTACCAAGGGAGAGAAGACCCAATATTTTTGGGATCACGTTGCGCGAAGTGTGAGTTCAAAAATGATGAGCATATGTTCTCCTTTATCTGGGTTTGATCATGATTTCATCCAACGAATTGATGACATCATAGGACATGGATTTTTCAACGAGGGAATTAAATTGACTTTAAGCAAAGAGTTCAAGAAGCATTTTGACATGAAAATGTGCAGCAGAGTCGCCAACATTGAAGCCGTAGGTTCGTTGACTGCAAGTACTCCCAATTTAGTGAAAGTCATGTCCAGTGGAATTTCGTCAGTACCAACGCTTTTGAATGCAGGGCAAACATCCAAAAAGAGGCCACCAGTACCGGGTATTCCAAACGTAGATAAGGAAATTGTGGTTGGCTTTGATGATGAAGCAAACAGCATTAGAGAGCGACTCATTGGTCGGGAAAAGCTAGAGGTTGTCTCAATTGTGGGAATGCCTGGAATAGGTAAGACAACTTTAGCCAGCAAAATGTACAATGATCCTTTGATTAAGTATTACTTCTATATTCGGGGTTGGGTCCAGGTGTCTCAAGTATATACAAAGAGGGATTTGTTCCTTGGCATTTTGCATTCTGCTTTTCAGCTTAGAGATGAAATTCATGAAATGAGTGATGAAAAATTAGGAGATGAGCTGCGCAAACGCTTAAAGGGTAAGAGGTATTTGATCGTGCTGGACGACATTTGGGAAATTGGGGTCTGGTATGATTTGGAAAAATCTTTTCCAAACGACAATAATGGAAGTAGAATCATGTTCACTAGTCGGATCACCAATATTGTTTCGCGTACTAAATTTAATAGCTCTCATCATCTGCGTTTTTTAACTCACGATGAAAGCTGGGAACTGTTGCAACAGAAGATATTTAAGAGAGTAAACTGCCCTCTAGAGCTGGTGGAAATTGGAAAGCGAATCGCAGCCAATTGTCTGGGACTACCACTTACAATAGTTGTAATAGCTGGACTTCTTGCAAAGACAGAGAAAACGCCAGACTGGTGGAACCAAGTTGCTGATAGTGTAAGTTCATACATTGCTAGAGACCCAAATCAGTGCATGGACACACTAGCACTAAGTTACAGCCACTTGCCTCATCACTTGAAACCGTGCTTTCTTTATTTTGGAGCATTTCCCGAAAACTATGATATTCCGGTGTGGAAGTTGGTCTGGCTATGGATAGCA